CGGGGCTCAAGGTCAGAGCGCTCGCAGCTGGTGGGTTTGCCGGGGCCCTTCGGCATCCAGCGAGGGGTGGTATGCACAAGGACAAGGAGAGTGCTGCCTCAGCAGGCTCCTGCTCCTCTCCCCTCCCTAGAGCCCCAGGCTTGGCACTTGGGCACCGTTGGGAGGTTGCTGAGCAGGGCACGGCTGCGTGCGGCTGGTTATCTCAAGCAGGGGAGGAAAGCTAGCTAGCAGTATCTTGGGACCTGATCACAGTGCAGTCTAGCTACCCCTTCTGAGTCAGCTTAATCGCTTTACAAAGAGCCCATGATCCAAGAGTGTGTGTAGCAGGCTGAGGACTTCTTGCAGGGTTCTCTTCACTGGGTCTTAACCAAACCAAACTGGGGACTTCTTCATAGCTCTGCATTTGATAGCTGAAGGAAGTAAAATTGAGCTTCCCCTGAAACAAGCTACCTTTAGCATGTGTTACGGTGCTGGCATTGTCTTCTGTTCATAGCATGATTTAACTGCTAAGACTTCACTGCCTTTCAGAAGAACTGGGTGTTTGCCTTTTTTCCGTTCTGATGCTTGGTTTCCATCAGGTTGCCAAAGGGTGCCTGGCAGGTGGCAATGAGAACCTCTTAGTGCCACTGAAACTAGCTCTTGTGGAGATGCTTTGAAAGCAGCTGGTTCTGCTTCACAGACCTCATAAGAATATGGGTAAACATGTTGCAGCAATACCTGCATTCAGCTTGTCAGAAGGTTTTGCTACCTCAGTTCATTGAACATTTCAGGCTGTGTTGGTAGGGTAAAGGTGAAGTTACTGTAGCTGTCAGTCTTTAGACTCTAGTGCTGGGGGAGAAGGGTGGGGAATTGCTGCACGTTCCTCCAGTGACACAAGTCAGATATGAAAAAGCTGCTCGTCTGTTAGGGTAGGCAGTCTGTTCTGAGAGAAGATTGTAGCACGAGGTCTGGTCCTGAACAGTTGCTGGAACAAGATTTCCTCCCTTAGTTCTTCCATGGAAACTCCAGTGTCAGGTCGGAGGTTCTTTTGCTCTGCAGGCTGCTGTGAAGCTCTCTTGTAGATCAAAATGGAGTGGACTCAGGGGAAAAAAACAGCTTTCTCTGTATTGTGAGCCCTGGTTCCAGCGCATGGCCCTGGGAGGGCTGTGTTCCTGAAATAGTCGCTTGAGGGGGAGGGAATGGCTGGCTCTGAGTTGCCTGGCAAGTGCTTGCTTGATTCTGAAGGGCTTTGGTGCTTATGCTCTGTCCTGAATAGGGAAGATGGGTGTTGTGATGCCTCCTTCTCAGGGGACTTGGTTTTCTAAACACACCTTTGGGTTTCAATTAGGTGCTGAAATAGTATCTGGCTTCCAAAGAAACCTGCAAATTAACGACCTCTCTTCACTACAGACAAACCTCCCAATCTTCAAATTGAAGGAGTCATGTGTGAGGAGACGATATAGTGACTTTGAATGGCTGAAGAATGAGCTGGAACGAGACAGTAAGGTGAGGCCTGGCTCAGACCTGTCTATTCCTGAAACCAGGACATATGGGAACAGTTGTAGGGATAATCTTGAGCTACCTAGAAGAGAGGCTGTGGTGGTGGGCAGCTGCTGGGTCTTGATCTCTATCCACGTAATGGGGCTGGAGATGAGTGTCAAGCAGCAGAGGACATCTGCTTGCAGGTGGATATTCTGCTGACATGGTGGTTCTATGCTTTCAGATTGTAGTGCCACCGCTGCCTGGAAAAGCTTTGAAACGACAGCTTCCCTTCCGAGGAGACGAAGGCATCTTTGAGGAGTCCTTCATTGAGGAGCGGAGACAGGGACTAGAACAGTTTATTAACAAGTAAGCTCGATGTGCTGGGTTTGCTGTGTGCTGCCTTCTGCAAGCAGAAGAGGGCTGTGGGTTGACCGGGAAGGAGTTTTGATCCGCTGCATGCAGGTGCTGTGCTAAAGGATGGTGCCTGCAGCCGGGTAATGAAACCATGGTTCTGAAGCAAGTCCTGCCTTGAGTGTGGATTGTGTTCAGCACTCTCTTCTGAGAGTGAAGCAAATATTAGAATAGCTGTGCTGCAGAGACCCACCAACGGGGTAGCCTTGGTTCAGGATGCTTATGCCCTGCTGCAGGACATGGTGTGGGAGGGAACGCTCTGTGCTCAAGCACCTTGCTGGCCCTGTTGCACACCAATCTGGTGACCTTGGCCTGAGGCCAGCGCGGGCGTGCTTGGAGCTGGCCACCTGTTAGCGAGGAGGTCTGCCTTACTCACTCCCTACAGAGAGCGGAGGTGTGGGGGTCTCGGTGGCAGCTGTCCTAACCTCCACTTCTGATTTTCTTCCAGAATTGCTGGACACCCACTGGCACAGAACGAGCGCTGCTTACATATGTTCCTGCAAGAGGAGACTATCGATAGGAATTACGTCCCAGGGAAAGTGCGCCAGTAGGAGCACCTGGCACTCTCTTCCTCCATTCCACCCTCCCTCCTGCAAAAATGACATTTATTTTTACACTAAATCTGTCTTCTCTGAACCAGCTTTTCCTCTCTTGAACCTTCCAGTTTGTTCAGTATTTTCCTCTTTTGTAACTGGCAGCAGCTTGTTCCACTGGGCTGTGGTCTTGGCCTAAAGGTATGAAGATTTATGCAAGTGAGTGTGTTGTCCCACACCTCGGGGCAGATGTGAATAGGTGTGGAGCAGGAGCTTGCTTATGGCGTTATGGCGTAGGAGCTGCCTCTCTCCCTGTACAGGAAGGTATGAGATGACCTTCACTCCCCTGTCTGTGCAGCCCCAAGCATCTCTGCAGGAGACTCTGAAGAATAGCAGTTGTCATGTTGGTCAGTGATCGCATCAGGTATTAGAGTTTTAGTAAGGCTTATCCAAAACAGTGAGTAGGTGCCTGGGTGTGTTGGTCTCTTGTCCACCCCATTCACCCTGCATGAAACCCCCATTCTTCACTGTCTGGAAGCGCTGAGACCCAAGACCTACTCTAACCCTGCTCTCAGCCTCCTGCATTACAGACCCGTTCGATGTATTCGTGTTAATCCCCCTCCTTTCTAACGTGCTGCTGGCAGCTTGAGGGGTTTCCATGATGTGTGCTCTCATGATGCTCTGTGTGGGCAGTTTGCCGTGTGGAAGCTGGGGTAGCCTGGGCTGTAGCGTGTGTGCTGTGATGCCTTGGCCCAGCATTTAAAAAAGGCCACAGCTTGCTCTGCTGCAGGCTGGTGTGGTGGTGTTTCCAGCAGCATCCTGCTCAGCTGAGCCGTGGTGACCTTATCCTGCGCCCCAGCTGCCGAGGGGAGGACACGGGTCTGGCTGAGGAGGAGCAGGAGAGGCCTGGTGGGGGCTGTTGTAGTGTGCGGCTGTGACGACTGCCGCAGGAGGAGCCCAGCAGTGGGGCCTGGGGTGAGGCCACCTCTCCGGAAAGGGATGGCATAAAATGGTCAGTTAGTCCTGGGTTAGACAGTTGCTTATGAAGCAGGAGAAGTCACAGTGGCTTTTTGCGTGTTCTCCTCTGTTCTGCAGTGAGCTAAGCAGTTACTTGTGTGGAAACAAGGACACAACTGGTCAGGGAAGTGTTCAGAGCTGGAGGGGGACCGTGAGGCTGTGACTTGCTGCAGCAGAACTGTCCTTTGGAGATTCCTTCGGCTGCCACAGCTGCAATGAGCAAGGTTGGGCCTCAGCTCAGGGGCTCCTCAGGTCAGGGCTGGCTGGTTTATAAGCACTTGGTCACTTTGCGGTGGCACAGTCGAGCCTGTCTTGGAGCGCAGTGGCTGCCCTCCCGTCCCTGCCAGGCACGTCCCCCAAGGCCTCCCTAACATCTCCTGGGTTTTCTGGTGAGGAGCTGGTGCTGGGCGAGAGGTGGTTCTCGGGGAGGAGGAGAAGTCGCTGAAACCGGGAGGGCGCTGCTCCGGGGGCCGGCTCGGCCCGGGAAGGGCTGTGGGGGCAGCGTGGAGGCTGGTGCCGGCGGAGGCGGCCGTGTCCACCG